AATAAGAAAATGTGAAAAAAGAATCCACCTTTTTCCTCTTTAAGACTCAAAGTAAAGGAAGATTTTCAGACACAGAGCTCAGGTTGCAAACCCATCAAAGACCAGGGGAGCTCAACAGATTGAGATAACACTGAAGCAACCTGTTGGAGACGGAGCTCATAACTCACATCTGACACAAGCCACTCTAGTTCACAGTTAAGGACCGAGGTGACCACGGCCAATGCAAGTCCTACAAGCAAGGGCTACCAAATCCCTGAGAGTCTGGCATCAGTTAAGAGCAGAGGCCACGTAAGCACAATTTCAGAGACGTTTACGATTCAAGTCTGACATGTATACAATGCACAACTTTAAACCATTACCTGTTTTCATGTTCTCACCTTACAAATTTTAATGTACCAGTTGAGGATGGTCTGCATGCTTGAAAAATAGTGTTTAAAGTGTTTAAAGAGCAAATGTACATAAATAATGGAGTTTGGGGTTAGAGTTTGAGGTCTCCTTAGCTTTAACAGTTCACTCAGCCAACAGTGATGTATCACTGGTCCTTAAAATTGGTTCTCTCTAGGTCATAAAATGCATTCAAACAAGGAGTATCCAATTAAACTTGCTTTAAAAACAAAAGGCTTTGAAAGCAATTTTCTGATGAACTGGGGATTTTCTCAGTAAACTGTCACTGTAACAGAAGTGTTGGAGACAAAATATCACGTGTTCCAAAACCTCTAAATAAGCCTTGTTAAGAACCTCAGACAGAAGTCACGTTTTCACGACTCTTCAGAATTAAATTAAGTCAATACTTCATAATTTGAACATCATTCTGAATGCACAATTAAGAGAAGTTGTTCTTCTCCACTACCCAAAGTAATAACCTTTTCTGTGCTTGAAAAGCTAGAGTAATGGAAATGCCTAGATTATGATAATAAATATACCACAAAGTTTATTATAATTCCATATGAAAACATTTTAGAGATATTACTTTGTAATATACACTATCAGGTAAAGGAAAAGTTTAAGCAGCAGCCACCTCTCATACAAAATTACCAGGACCACAAATTACAGGAAGAAGTATGTACTCAGGTCTCACAGTTATCATCACTGAACACTGACACTTCAAATAAAATAGACTCAATTTTACGTTTATCTTCAGCTAAGGAAAATATCCTAAAAGAAATCCTAGCAAATCCTTCTGTGCGATTGATTGAAAATTAACTGCACATGAAACTTCAGCATTCTTATACATGGCACACTGTAAAAATGATTTGATGTTACAAAGAACATTATCAAGAAAAAAAAATACTTCCAAAAATTACAAACCAATACATTCTCAAAAATAGGTCATCGATAGATTTTCATGTTACTCACCCCACTGAAGAGGAGCCAGCTGTAGATGCTCTAGCACCAGTTGATTGAGAACGCCTTCCACACTGGCTTCCCCTTCACGCTTCAAAGAAGGGTACATTAGAATTAAGGAAAACCTTGATTCAGAGGGAAAAAGAGCAGGTAATGCACACAGCTTTTATTCCTGAAAATCAGGACTGCATCCTAGAGATTCATTAACGGTTACAGCTACAGACTTAGTCTTATTAACCCATTAATTGGCTGACAATAGTAATTAGCACAGCTGATATCTTCACATATCAAGATGATAAATTCAGAACAATCTGAAAACAAAAAGAGTTAAATTTAACAGGGCAATACAAAACAGAACAAATGTGTGATGGGACAGCTGTGAACACTGGCTAGGCGCCAGTTCTGTGGAGGTACAGGGAACATTAGACAACACAGTGATAGGGATCACGAGATCAAGAGCAAATATCACACCAGAGTTGTACAGACACATATCCTGTTCGTTTCCCTTCTGTTCAGCACTGTACGAACCCAGTAGCAGGCTTAAAACAAAATGAGAAAGATCTCTACTCTAAGTGCAGCGAAGCGCTGGAATAGACTGTTGGGAAAAGCAGAATCCCTATTTTTTGAAGGGCTTCAAAAACAGGTTTCAATAAAAAAGGTTAAAAAATATCCAATGTAACCCAAAGATAGTATTTTCCATTTAAAGAAATTAATTTCCTGTGGGATGTATCTGTCAAAACATCACTTTTTTTCAAAGAAAGCTAAGGTCACGGCTACCTTATAAACTCAAATGTATTAGAGGCACGGGGGAATGGCTGCCTACGTGCTGTAACAGCACTGATGGAAAGTCCTGCAAACTTTCAACTCTAATCTTGGATGTTAGGAAAAGCAGTCTGAAGCTGGGTTCCTGATTCAATTAAACTTAAGTCCCAGGATCAAGTACCCTTGGTTACTGGTGAATGTCAAGTACAGTTCAACACCGCTGTTGAACAGACAGCCTCTAACTATAGAGGAGTATGGAGAGTATAATCCAAAGAATCATCCAGCATCCTTGCGATGAAGAACAGGGCTGAGCCAGGAAAAGAAATCCGGTCCTCAGACCCTGAGCCCAAGGCTGTGGAGATGGTGGAGCTGCCCTAGCTGCTGGAAAGGATTGCCACTGCTGCATCGGTGGTGACAACTGGATAGGAGAGGGATCTGACAGCAGGTTGACATCAGCTCTGACCAACCATCAGGAACATGTCCAATAGTATCCTGTGACCAGATGGGCCAAGGATTCCTACGGCTTATGTCCCAGGCCCGACAAGTTGCAGGTTAACCCCAATTCCGCATTTAATTGCTCCAAAACCATTGCTCCCCACTTCCATGAACTATCATTCTGAAAAAGGAAAACCTATTTCAGCAGTCAGAGTTTGAGAAAAAGAGACCAGGAGCAACTCACTCAATATCCTAGTCCTGTAAGTCAGCAGCTTTCTGGACGATGAGAAGGATTATGCCACCAACTTTGGGGCTGACAAAGCATATTGTAGTTGAGTGTCTGGTTGACACTCTTGTGAGTGTCAACCAGAATGCACTGGTCTTGCATGTGCAGGGAGGAAGCCAGAAAGGTAAATCATCTTTTCCAGAGATATGACCCTTGCAGGCCTGTTGCCCAGGCAAGGGTAAACAGTTACCCTTATGGTACAAAGTTGTACCAAAGCCAGCGAATGCAGCTTCTCACCAGTACCACCTAAATATTTATGGCCTCTAACACCATAGAGGCCTTAGTCTCTGACAGCCATCGAAACCTAGAGCATGGGTCAGATCTGTCCAATATAGGGCACTGCTCTTCTTCCCAGAAGGTTACTATATATTTTGTGTGGACTGCAGAACCTCAGAGTTGCTGAGCTAAGTTTCCCATGGAGACAATCTCTCCTTGGGTCAAAAACAAAGATCACAGATTTCCTGTTCCTTTAGTTAGCACTGCCTGTCTTTTGGGGTGTAAAATGAGACTCTTGAAAGCATGGAAAAGGTAGATGGAATGACCACCAGATGCCAGAGTATCTTTTCCTCATGGTAGGTAGGCAAACTTGATAAAGCTTGTAGATGCCAGCTCTTCGTTTGGGAACGCACATATTGCTAACAACAGAGATCTCGGGAGTAATGCCCACTAAACTTCCCCAATCGGGGGATACTCAGCAAATGAAAAGTTAAGTGCTTCCCAAGCTGTTCAACCCACGAAACAAAACAGGAAAGATCAATTAAAAACAACAACATCAGAATGAAAGTACTACAGAGAGGTTGGGCGGCAGTTTGTCTGGAACAGGAACAAGAAGCTCCTCTCTCACGTAGGCCGAGAGGAGCGGACGGATACACGCTCAGAAATGCTCTTTTTCAAACTTACCAACCTTCACATGAAATAACCATAGGCAAAGAGGTGTCTAACCATAATTAAGGGCTAAACTCCTCTTGATAGCAAGACGCATCAAGGTTTCATCCAACTACCCCAAAATTACTGGAACCGTCTTACTCAAAAATAGATCAAAGATAGAAGAATCTATTAGCTTTTATAAACCGCTCCTAAGCACAATCCAATACTTTTTCTGCAAAAATCTGGAAAGAGAAGCACATAATCTGACAGATAAAGTATCTTCTCCTATGTGTTATTCAAAAGAAAATGAATAGGTACTGCACATAACTGATTTCTACCACAGGACCTATTTTCAAAGGATGTCTAGGAGGCAAAAAAAAAAAAAAAGTCTTACAACTTCAGATTAAAATGAGATCTAGCAATTCGCAATTTTTAGACTCAAGAACTGAAGGAAATGTAAAAGAAGGGGATCAATACAACTTTGTTTTCTAAATAATCCTCATTTCTGGCCTCCTATGGACTGAAAAATCTCTTAAATAGCTTTAATTTCCCTAAAAGGACTTCAACTGAAAATTTCACAAACCCCAAAGAGCCTGAAAGCCCTAAATAACATTAAGGAAAAGCACCAATTTGGAAAATTCAAGGCAGCAGAAGTATCGCTTTCAAAAAGTATCACCACTGAAAAATAAAACCTGGGACAGCAACACAACAGAATCATTTCCACAAACCAAGTTATAGGATAGAGAATACCTAATTTGGATTACTTTATAGACGTAGCAGATAAATATTTCTTTTGCCACATCTTTAATGTGAGGAATGTAAGTGTGAGAAAAACTAATAAAAAGGCAATATTTTAAAGAAGTTTTAAAACAGAGTGGCTGCCATTAACTGTAATGTTAAACTAACTTAACTGTAATTTACTTACAACTGGCTCACAGTGGTGCCTAGAATTTTACAAATTTTTACTGCTTAAAGCTCCATGGAAAGCTTAATGTCTCAGATACCATTATAAAATGACTATAAAAAGGGTGATTCGCCATACTTTACTATTGGTAAATGCTATCAAAGCAGACCCGTGTATTTATAAGGAAAATACATTTTGCAATTTCAAATTCAATACAGCAATGCATCTGCAGATTATTTACAAAAGCCAAGTTTTTAAAGGCGGTCCAGAAGATTTGCTATGCATGCGATATTTCTTCAGAGGCCCACTAATAAAAATAAGAGGAGTTCTCCAAGGTGGTAGAATAATCAGAAGAAAGTCTGTATTTAAGCCACTGCTCCTCCTCACTGACAAGCACTTACAGTGATAAAAAATATACATACCTATGCCTCAAATAACACAAAAAGCACATAACTGCACTTCTTAAGTCCTGCGTCCCATTTCGGGCTCCCAGGGCAAGAGACTGAAATAGCGGACAAAGTCCCCTGCAGGACTGTAAAGACGGTTAGAGGGCTGGAGCACACGACAGATGAGGAGAGGTTGAGAGAACAGGGTTTTTTCAGTCTTAAGAAGAGAAGGCTAATGAGAAATATTATCGCTATCTGTCTTAGTGGGAGGATACAGAGAAGATGGAAGCACACTTTGCTTGGAAGAGCACAGCGGTAGGAAGAAGGGCAATCGACACAAGTTGGGAACACCTGAAATTTCAATTAGACACAATGAAAAAATTCTTCATATTGAGTGTGGTGAAAGACTGGCAAAGGTTTCCCAGAGAGACTGTGGAATCTCCATCCTTGGGGATGCTTGAGTGGACAAGGCCCTGCACCACCTCACCTACTTGGATCTGCCTTGAGCAGGAGGTTGCACTAGATGACCAGAAAAAATCCCTTCTGGCCCTAAATCATTCTATGTCTCTGTAACAAATAATCAAAATAAATTGTAAGTTGTGTCCAAGTTTATCTTATTCTCAATGCTATAGTAAAACAACGAACTTTATTAAAATCTTTATTAAAACAATGCTTAGGCTTTTCCAGTATCCACTGTGTCTCTACGACACTCTCTCACACACACATACACATGCAAAATTAAAAAGCAAACAGAAATTTACAATAACCACCATGATGAAGATTCAAAATTCCCTCTGTATCTAGCTCCACTTAAGCTCTGCTGCAAAGTAGACTCAAAGATAAAAATCACTTAAGTTGACAGTATGGTTGGTATGCTCTTACCATGCCAAATGGACACAAATAGCATTGAATTAAATATTATCGATCTGTGTCTCCTGAGCGTACCTCAGACAGTTATACAAAATTGCTCATTTAGTAGTACTACGGACTGAACATTGTAGCAAACTCATCGCCTTGGAGTATATAGGTAACCAGAGCACGCAGGAGTGAAATCACAGAGCAAAAAAGAGAAAAAAGCCTAACTCAGCTTGCCTATTTTCTAAGATAAGCCTTTGGATTTCAGTTAAAGCAAAACCCTTGGAGCAGCGAGTGCCAATACACCCGTTCATTCTCAGCTCAAAGTGGAACCTGATACGTAACAAAATTGTAAGATCTAGAATTTCAAATTCATTGAAAAAATTGCACAGATAAACAGAAGTACAGATTGCCGAAGTCAGGTTTGACCTTGCAGAATACATTAACTGAAATAAACCTCCAAATGTTTCAGTGAACTCCCACTGTGATTAAAAACTTGCTATTCCACAGGGGTCAGATGCTCAAACCTCTTTAGGGACTTGGGCCTCAGCTCCCAAAGCATAAAAATGTTTATTATTAGCACCACGTGCATCAGCGCGGAATGAAAC